TTAAAAGATTCCCTTCTGAGTATATAGTTGGTCTAATATCCAGGGCCTTTAAATCTGTTAGGAATATAATAAACTCAAGCTGGATTCAAAAGCATCTCTTAAATTTAAAATAGTATCCTTCAGATAATATTACTGAGTAATCTTATTTAGAATTATAGCATTTGATTTACCATCATAAATAATTACATGTAATTTACTTTTTTACCATTTAGTCCCCCTATTCCACTTAGCTCATCACATAAAATTTGAAGTGCTAGTCAATTTCACATTTGTTGTCAGGCAGCAATCCAACACTGAATTGTTTGGAACACCACATGAATTCCAGATTGAAATACAATAAAATTTTGAAACAGTTTACTACCTTATTTCTCATTTCTCAAGCTTAAAAGAAAGTTCACCCATTAAGAAGTTTTAGTAGTTGGTCCAATTAATATGTTTAGCATTTTTTTCCTCTGATCCATCAAAGATATGTTCAATGCTATATTCTAAATAAAACTAATTTCCTGTCAAATTACAGAGTAAGAAAAATCTCTGGTAAAAAAACATCTACCCTAATTTGATAATCTCTTCATAATTACCAAATTTTGTTGAAGAAAAAAAAAAGAGCCATTCAATCTTTCGAATATGATTTAACAAGAGTTCTATTGTAAAATAGTTTGCCTTCATTAGGAGGTACAGAGGGAAGCAAACGATTATTCCACGGCAATGCTGACAAGATCCAAAGATGCAAGCAATTACCTCATTTATTTAGAGAACATTTCAGGACCTATAATATTATAGAAACTGCATTAAATATTGGAGAAATAAAGAGCAATAAGCACAATCCCTGCACTCAAAAAACTTAACAGCCTTGTGGAGAAATATCAACAAGGTGTTCAAAAATCTCAAAACAGAAAGTTTAATCTTTAAAAATGAAATATGCCTTTTACATTATACTGGATGGAGAAAGGAGGTTGGAGTTACAAAATTTTTAAAAATGGTTCAATTGAAGTGCTTCCGTTATTTGGGCAAAATGTTCAGGTCTCTTGTTAACCATAGCATGTAGTAACAGTGTTGAAATACTGATACATTTCAAGATAATTTTATTAACTCTACCATTTGAAGGGTTAGTAAATATTAATGTGTTTTTGTGGTATCTCCTATGTAAAGGTCCTATTGTACCCCAAAGTAGTTTCCAAAATTTTTCACTTCAAGTCACATTTCTGCATCTTTCCATTTCCCACAGCATACCTGAGATGAAGACAAACAAAGATTGTAAGTCCCACAGCCACAGATAAAAACTGGTGCTGAAAGATGAGGAAGATGGTAGGAAGATTATTACCTCAGAAGAGACTACACAAAGACCCAGTAATTTAGTGAAATTATAAGAGAATACTATTAGAAACAAACCACATAAAATAACTTGGCTCTATGACAGGACTTAATGTTAGAAGTCAAAGGTTATACATGCCCTATGAAAGTTCCAAGTTTGATTATGTTATAGGAGGGCAGGAAGTGAGACAGGAGCAAATAATGTCAGTTACAATGATTGATTAGCTAGGAACTACTGGCCTAAAGCTAGCTTTAAATTCTAACTTTTATATTAACACACCCTTTAGTGCTATCATCATTGTGAAAAATCAAGGTCTTCAACAAATTATTATTATATTTTATACAAACTTATTCTGAGAGATAAAGAACTCCCTAACTGTAAAATATTAACCAACTGTGAATACTACCTAGTAAGTTAATCACTTTTTCCTCATATTCATTGCATAATAAAATGAGAAATCACACACACAAAAATAGGAAACTTACTTTTAACTGAAGTGTAAGTTTAAGACTTTTAAATTACATGTACAAAAATATTATGTAGTAATAGGAAGTTATCATTTCCTGTCTTCCTTTAAATACCACTATTCCTCAAAATACGCTATGGCACAAGATTTCCTCCTGATGAAGCCGCCACCCTGGTCCACATTGCTACCTGTAAATCTAACAATGAAGGAAATTATTATTCTCACCCAGAAAAATGTCAAGAAAGAATATATATCATGATGGAAGCACAGTACAAGTCTGATTTAGAGTCAATATAAAAATATTTGTATTAAAAACTACATTAAAGCAGATTTTGTTGACAAATTATGTATTTTGCACCCTATGTCCCAAAGATCTGATTATGCCCGAAAACTAAGCAAGAGCTGCCTGTATGGGAGAAAATGGAAGGTAATTTACTTTCTTACATCATTATAATGACAAGCCAAACAGTGGTTTTGAAAATAAGAGTAACACTGTAATATATTAAAGTAGGGAGTTAGAAAAGAGCAGAAATTTTCTATTATAAAGGCCAACCCAAAAGTGAAATCTGTGAAAAACACATATGGATGGATCTACATTTTTCAGATTGATCTAGATTACAGATGGTTCAGTTTACACCATCATTTACTTTCAAACTGGTAAGGAAAGACCAGAACAACTTCTTAAAGAAGGCATGGAGGAGAGTAGCAGCAGTGACAGATTTAGCCAGTTTTCCTGTAACTGTTTTAATAGCTCTTCCCATTTATTTTTAAGGCAAAAATAATTCAACTTGGTACAGTATGCCTGTGAATTATGCATGACAGAGTCATGTAAAATAAAGTTTTGTATTACTATTACTGTACTTACATGTCACCACAAAACAGGCTTAGGTTTTCAATGCAGAAAGATGCTTATTAATTCCCATCACAATATATTTCACAAACTTAACCTCACATAAATTGTTTAGAAATGGAAAAGTAAGACCACAGTGAATCACCGTTTGGATTGAAAACGGCAGTTCAGATTTAAATATATTTCTCAAAGTAGAACACTAGATGTATGAAGGACAATCAGTAAAGGCTAATATTTACTAAGCACAGTACCACACAATGTTATGAATTCATGACGTGTTGTCTCACTTAATCCTTAATAATCTTACAGGTTAGGGATTATAACTATCCCCATTTTAACTGAAGAGACATAAATAATTTACCCAAGCAGCAGCAGAGGGTAGATTTGAACCCAGAGCCTAGAAACAAGGTAAACCTAGAAGAGAGGGAAGTAGTTGAGGGAGATACAGAAATAGTAAGTCCCAATGTAGGAAGGCACACTGTTTACTGGTGGCATAGAGTTCCTCTTTATACTGTGGAATAATGGTTTTCAATCCTGGCTACACATTAGAATCACTTATGGGACTTTAAAAAAAAAAACTGTCCATCCTGAGGACCTCATTCAGATACTTGGCCCGAAATTGGACTGACCTGCAACAAAAGCAGAGATACTTTTTTAAAGCCCCCAGTTTAACATATCTAAGTAGCCAACTACAATCAAATTTACTGATCATCTATTTGGTTCTGAGTACTTTGCCTACTGTATTTTCCATTTACCCAATAAAGTGCTTAGCTTTTCTTTTCCTTAGAGGAAACATTACAACCATAGCTACACCTTTTTAAATAACAAAATGTTGCTAGCTTTTCTTTGACATGAGAAATGCAGGAGAAAGGGTGGGGAGTTAGCACGAAAAGTCTGAAAAATGCTTCTTTAAGTACCTATATACTCCTTAGGTTTAATACAATTTAAAAGAAGTCCTAAGGTTAAACTAAATGGCAGGCTCTGAGAGTAAAAATGTTCTGTGATAAATGTTAAAGAAAATATTTACCATCCATATTTGGTTGTATTTCTTAATTCTGCTGGTGGTGACAGTTAAAACACTAGGCAACTGTTATCGTGGTGATAAATCTTGTTGTCTTTTCACCATGCTGTGACAGCGATTATACAGTGTTTTACCCTGTTAAGTCACCTGAATATAAACTAACAGGTGCTAAAGAAATCAAAGCATTACATAAGCATACCCAAATAACAACATGGCTGGGCACATTATGTACTGAGAAATACAGGATTTTGCTGACAATCTTACATGAGAAGTCTGTTTCACTAAAAGTTATTCACTGCACATCCCACTCACCCTATACCAAAAATACAATGAAAACTGTTACAGACAGCCTCAGACTTACTGGCCCTTTTATTTTACTAAAAAGTTGAAGCGTAGAGATATTTGACAAGCATGCAAGTTTGGCCTATGATTGGAGCAAGAGATTCAAAATGATAAAGAGTATAAATACTTCAAATTGTATAAAATTCTGTACTCAGAGAAACATTACCAAACTTCCTGCTTCCGGACAGCTCATTATTTGGGTCTAGTCTTCACATTCCTCTATTAGTCATGACGTTTGGAAAGCACTCATTCCTCATTGTTTAAATAATATCAGACTTTTAAATGTTGCTAATCGGACTTACAGGAACTCTCATCAAATGAAGAAGTCAATCCAGAGTTCATGCCCAAAGGAAGGATTTAGATTATAGAGAATCCTCAGTGACCTTAACAGAGTGTATCCGTCACGTAGATTTTTTTTTCAATTTTAACTGTAAACATGTACCCTTTTATCTTATACAATTACAGTGACTTGCATTAGTTCTACAGAAATTGACTCTGCAAGAAACTCGGAAGACCTATTTCCCAGTGTGAAATACTGGATATGGGTGAAAGACGTAATACACGACAGTGAGCCTCAGTACGGACTGTCGCTGGGGTCTCACACGGCCCAGATCTGGTCTCTGAGCCATATGTCACCACGCTCAAAGGCACAGACGCGGAGAGAGAAACCCAGGTAACTGGGTAAGAAAACAAGAAGTAGGCACCTCATAAATAAGTGTACTTCCACCCCGAAGCTGAAGAGGCGGCCCGACGTGCAGACCCTAAAGAAAAACCTTGTCTTGTGGGATCCGTCACCTTGCCCAGGCCTGTAAGGCCTGGTGAAAGGGGTGTGAGGGGAGGGAGGGCACGGTCTGTCCCCACTACCGAGAGCGCCACAAATGAAAATAAATCAAGTTTCCACTTCCCGGTCGCCCACTCTTCCTGAAGGCCGAGGGGGCTCCCGAGGAGTAGGGGACCACCCAAGCCCCGCGTCCCCCCCGCCCCGTCCTCGCCCTCCTCCGGGCCTTACACGGTGACGTGACCGGAACCGCGGACCACCACCGGGTCCGGCGAGTACTTGAGCAGCTGCTCTTCCAGGGCCCGCTCCTCGTCCTCCTCTTCCTCATAGATCTCGTCGAAATCCGCCATCCTGAGCCTCCGAGGCCCCCTGCCCACTGGGACCTGACTCCAGGGCCTGGGGCCGGGATACGGACTGGAGCGGCGGCGCAGGCTGAGCGGAGACGCTGCCGTGGGCTCGGAGGCCGCAGAGTCCCCTCTTGGCTGTCTCGGCTCTGGCTACAGAGGAGATGCTGCTCCCGCTATCACCGCCGCCACCGCCATTACCGTCAGCAATAACAGCACAATGTCAACATCCGCCCAAAGGCCGACACCTCTGCCGCCGCCGCCGCCGCCGCCGTAGCAGCAGCAACTCAGGCAACCACAGCAACAAGCCTAAGCCACCCGCAGCGGGAGCAGTCGGCTAAAGCATCGCGAGACTTCCCGGGAGTGCGGGCGGGCGCGTGGGCGCATGGGTGCGTGGGCGCGTGGGCTGGACCGCGGGCTGGGGGGCGGGAGCGCGCACGTGAGGCCTCGCGCGCTCCCAGGCCTCCTTCCCTCCTCCATTTCCACCCGTCGACGCTTCGGACGCGCCCTTCCGCCGGCGTGACCCCGCCTTCCAGCAACTGGATCGTGGACCCAGAGGGTGGCCTTGGAGGGCAGAAGGCTATTAGACCGACTCCGAACAGTAGAGTGTCCACCGGGACGCTTAATTCCCCAAAGTAATTTCTAACCAAAACGACTAAAAATAAAAGCCCTGGTTGGAAGATAATTTATTTTGGCGTGGGATTGATTGCCAGTGTAACTAATAATCGAATCTCACTTTTTGTTGTTTTTTTTAATGTGTAATAAAAAGCAGAGTCTGTACTTTCCCAATTCGAAGAACCTAACAGACACGCTGCAAATATTTTTGTTCACTATAATACAGGTTTTTTCAAAACTTGTCCCAATTCAAACATCTTGTACCATCATCCCCTTAAACATAGTTCAATATGTGAGGCCAACAATGTTATTTTTTTTTTCTTACAAGAAAAACTTCGTCATGCATGAAACAAAACTGATAAGTTCTCTGGATTCCAGATTGCAAGATGCAGTTTCCTGCCCCGGCTACCTCATCAAACATAACTGTTTTTCTTCTGGTTAAGACCTTAGGGAAGCCCTTTCTCTTCCTTACAGCTCCTCCCAGAAAAGAGAGGAGAGAGGAACTGAAGGGAAGAAGAGTTTAATGTATTCCGCTTACTTGCCCAGACAATTAGTAAATGCTAAGTGTCACTTCGGATACTTGATTTCATGGTCAAGAACCTGCCTGAGCATACATATCATCTGAGGGGCAGGAGCAGGCTCCTTAAAGAGTCCTGCATAATGAGCATATACTGTGCGGGCAGGAAAGGGTAGCATAGTGGACCCAAAGCTGGCCTATTACAGTGTTCACGTCCTGCAGTTCCCTTCTCCTTAGATGGGTCATTGTTGAAGTTGAGAAAGTGCAAAAGAGGACAAGAACAGAGAGAAATGCCAAAAATCTCCTCCTGGAATGGTTGAAGGAAATGAACATGGTTAGCTAATAAACGATGAAGGGAAAACACAGTAGATGTATCTGCTGTATATCTCCCAGAGTACGTTTATTCATCTATTCCTTCAACAAATATTTACTGACCTCCAAATATGTGGCAGGCACTGTGCATGTGCATGTGTGTGTGTGGGGGGGGGTGTATCTGTGTATATGGATGAGCTAACAGTCCCTGCCTCCAAGTGCACTATTTATCACTAAGGCAAGTGCTTGTTATTTTGTCAAGTGCTGCCAGAGTAATATATAGAGGGTCTAACATAGCACAGAAGGTAGCATCGTTTGGTAGTTAACAATGGGCTTGGAGCCTGACTGCTTGCCTTTGAATCTCAGCTCTTCCACTTACTGTGTGACCCTGCACAAGTCACATAACCTCTCTGTTCCTCATGTATAAAATGAGGATAATAATACTACCTAACTCACTGGACTGCTCTACAAGTTCAATGGATTAATACATGTGAGATGCTTAGAAGAGGGCCTGGCACACGGTAAATATGGGACAACAATAGGGCATCTCTAGTTCCCATTCAGTTAATCAGTTCTATGAGGATCTGTACAATTTTTTTTTGCATTATATAATGCTTTACTATTTATGAAGCACATACATACATATCATTTAATATTCCCCAAGAACTCTGTGAGGTAGCCAAGGAGGATATAACTTATTCCCTACTTTCAGAAATGTTATGTGACCTTCTCATGGCCAAATGGCTGTTTAGTAATGAAACTCAGAGTTTCGACTCCAGTACAATGGGTAGGCCAGGCTCCTGAATTTCCTTCTTGGCAGGAAGCAGGAGACCAGTGCTGCATTCAGTTAAAGAGTGTCTGCAAATGGGAGGGTATGAAAAGGGAACTAGAAGAAGGAAGGTCAGTATGTGCCAGGCATGGCCCACACCCAGTGTGCTGTGACTGAGAATTCACCTTTCTGTGGAAACAGTGGCCAAAATAAGGGGCTAGTACCTCAAAGTATCTAGGTCATCACATAGCTGACAACTTTCCAAGAGCAGAGGATGTCACCCATGCCTCCTTAAATCTCCAGCACTTTCCACAGTTTCTGCTTCAGAGAAGGAGCTCAATAAATGTTATGTGAATTGAGATATATTGTTACCAGCACTATTTCTAGAATATCATGAGTTAACTCAGCTTCTGATAAATGTGAGAACCTCTCCCTTAACACTGGTTCTGTGTGGTAAAAACATTCTTATTCTAAGATCTATTCAACAGAGAGATCTCTGTAACCCCCACTGCCTCAGTGTGAAGTGGCAACTGCCTTATTTTTGCTCTTCCTATTTTGCTTTCCTTTTTCCAGCTCTGAAAAACCTGTCAGAGCTAGCAAAGGGGTGCGGGGCCTGGGAACAAGGCCAAGAGGGTGCAGGAAGATGAGTCTCCCTGATGCTCATTGACATCATAGTCCCAAACTCCTCCCTCAACCCTCCAGGATCCTGTTGCACCCCTTCCCTTGTCTCTACTGAACCCCCTTCTCAGTACCTTGTCCCTCATGCTCAGGTGCTCTCCTGCTCTCTGCTGGATGGAGTCCTCCCTAGACGGGTTCTGCTCCACACTCCTGCTTCACACACTCTCACATTTACCTTCAGACCAAATGGTGCCAAACCAAAGAGGATAATGCCTCAGGGCCCTCATAAGGCAACAAATATTCAGTTGTTTTTAAGGCAAATATTCCTAGATTTGTAAACTTCCAAGGTCTGTCACTACCTAGCTAAATGATCTTGGACTGACTCAACTTTCTAAGCTTCCATTCCTTCACCCTGAAATGGAACTTATGTCATGGGGTTATCAAGAATGAAGTGAAATAATGCACATGCAGTGGACTGTACTGTGTCCCCTCAAAATTCATACGTGGAAGCCCTAACCCCCAGTGTGATGGTATTTGGAGAGGTCTTTGGGAGGTAATTAAGTTGAGATGAAGTTGAGGGGGTGGGGTCCTCAGATGGGATTAGTGTCCTTATAAGAAAAGACCAGAGAGCGTGCTGTCTCCACAACCCTTCCCTCACTGTAAGGACACAAAAAAGAGATTGTTACCTTCAGGTCAAGAAGCTGACTTGCACTAGGAACCAAATAGGGCAGCACTTTAACCTTGGACTTACAGTCTACAGAACTGTGAGAAATAAATGTCTGTTGTTTAAACTACCTAGTCTATGGTATTTTGGTATGGTAGGCCAAGTTAAGACAGCATTTAATCCCTCATTTGTTGACTCATTCATTCATTAAACAAATATGCATTGAATTTTTCCCATGTGTCATACTCTGTGCCAGGAACTAGGAGTGGTAAACAAAAAACAGTCCCTGGCTTCATGGAGCATAAAGTCCATTCTGGAGGGCTGACAGATAATTATAAAAATAACAAACTAATAGAACTGTGATCAGTCCTGTGGAGATGTACAGGGGACCGTGAATGTCGTGAACAGACCTACCTGTCTCTGAGAAATCAGGAATTCTTCTCTGGAGAAATGACATTTAAGTTGATGAGTTAAGCAAAAGTGTAAGGGTAGGGAAATAGAAGAAAGGAGAAAGTTCCATAAAGTGAGAACAGCATATTTGTCTTAGAATACCACCTAGAACACTGGGTGGCTTATAAACAACAGAAATGTATTCCTCTACCCTCATGACATAGTCATCTACCAAAGCCCCAACCTCCTAATACCATCACATTGGAGGTGAAGATTTCAACATATGAATTGTGGGGGAACACAAACATTCACTCAGTAGCAATGTTTAAAGATCCCAAGGCAAAAAAGAGCATGGACCAAATCAGGTACAAGCCAAAGCCAGTGAGGCTGGACCACAGTAAGGAAGGCCGAGCCAAACTGACGTGGGATAAAAGTGGCTCTTGGAAACCTGAAGCCTTGATAAGGAGTCAAAGTTTACCCTAGAAGTAAAAAAGCTGCACTGAGGATGTGAAGCCAGACTGTGACATTATCAAATGTGCATTTTAAAATCCCCAAACAGGAGACCAAGAGCCCAACCTACCCAGCATGCATCCCCTACTTCTTCTGACAACAGCACACAACCCCCTGTGTCCAGACGATTTGTGGTAAATCGTAACTCCCCCACTCTGAGTGCATGTGACTGGGTTAAGCTGACCACATACTCAGTCCCAAGAGTGCACAAATGGCCTTGGGCTGGCAGATAAGACAGCATGGGTTACCCTGGGGCACAGTAATTGGTTTGAATAGATACACAATTCATATAGAGCCAATGAGATTCAATATCAGGACTTTCAATAGAACTACTGGGGTGGGGGAGTCTCTTTTTCTATGAATCTACTAGAAGCCATAGTGCTCTTGCAATGGTAGAAACTTGCCTAAGAATGAGGAAAGCAGGGCCAAGGGATGAACCACGCGTGATGTTTCAAGTCCCCGGAGTTCAGCCACACCTCAAGATGTCCCAAATTTGTCAGAGAGGATAATAGATTCAGTCTGTGGAATGTGACACACCTAGTAGAGATGTCCAGTAGCACATAGATAGATAAAGGTAGACAGATGGATAGATGTGCAGATGGACCGATAGATAAGACAGAAAGGAAGAACAAGAATAAGGATGGAGGGAATGCTCAAAAGAGAGGTCTTGGCAGGAAATAAATATGTTTGGTATCCATCAGCTCAGAGATGGTAACAGTAGCCATAAAAGTGACCAGGATGGCTCGAAAGCCAAGAGAAGAGGTGGTCTAGGGAGAGAGTGAGAAGATAAGAGGATCTAAGGTGAAGGCATTTCAGTGATTAGAGATGGAGAGAGGGAGAGTGAATGACAAAGGAGACTGAGGGGAAGTAGCCAGAGTGGTGAGAGGTCAACTGCAAGTGTGGTGTTAAAGTAAAGGGAGAGAAAAGTAGAAGGAGGTAGTAATCATCCCTCTAAGTTGCAGAGCTGATCCAAACAGTGTCTACTGTGTTTAGCAGAACACCAAATCCAGGAGAAGGACTCAGCTTCCACAACCAGCAATTTGACAAACAGAGCCAACACAGAACCCCTTGATTCTACAAACACGTAGACAACCTTGATCAGATATAATCATTTTAAAAAGAGTAATAAAGGGGAGAGCATAATTCCCTACTCCTTAAGTGTAGACTACACA